TGGATCTAGTGCGCCCCCATGATGCCAGATCGCCAGAGCAGCAACCTCTGCCCAGCCGCCGACGCAAAAGTGTGTGTGTGTGTGTGTTTGTGTGTGATGTGGTTGGAGTTTGTGTGTGTGTGCGTGCGTGCGTGCGTGGGAGTGTGTGTGTGTGTGTGCGCGTGTGTGGGCGGGTGGTTTTGTGGGTGGGTGGGGGGGGGAGTTGGGCGGTTGTGTGCGTGTGTGCGTGTGTGCGGGTGTGCGCGTGTGCGTGTGTGTGAGTGTGCGTGTGTGTGTGTGTGTGTATGCGTGTGTGGGTAATGTGTATGATGTGTGCGTGTGTGTGTGTATGTGCGTGTGTGTGTGTGTTTGCATGTGTGCGTGCATCTGTGTGCGTCTGTGTTTGCGTGTGTGTGTGTGTGTGTGTATGTTGCTAGGGCCCAAGGCGGTCCTGGTGTCAGCACAAGAAAACATCGCATAAACATTAAGTGTTGGAGCCCCGCGCAGATTTCTTGGATCTGCGCTGGTCCCCCCTCTCTGGCGCGCGGAGTGCGCTATGGGCGGCGCCTGAGGCGTTCTCAGGGGGCACCTGCGCATATCAAAGGAAGCCACGTGGAGCTCCCACAGTTGATGTGTATATATATATATATATATAGTTGTTGCCCATCGCCTGAAAGTGCAAATGTTCATGTTTGTCCCGTAATTTCTGATTATTGTTCGCGCAGTGGGCGTTTGTCATCACCAGGCCCAGCAACGTGCGCCAAGTCCTGGTCCTACCCACTGCTTGCCACGCCCACCACCTGTTCCCCCTTCCCCCTCCCTCTTCACCTGGCTTGGGACCGTGTGTCCCCCTGCTCGCGCGACACGACTGCCTCTCCCACAGCTTGCGGCACGGTCAAGGTCCTACCCACCACTGGCCACCCCCACCACCTGTGGTCCCTTTCCCCACCCTAGTCACCTGACTTGGGACCGTGTGTCCTCCTTTCCCCCCCTACCTGTACCCCCACAGCACTTGTGACGTGCACGGCCCACGCGCAGCAACCGCTTGCTGGTCCACGTGGTCTCCGACTGTACCTGCTCCCCCCTCCCCCCTCACCTGTCTTTAACATGTTCTGGGACCGTGTGTCCTACCTGTACCCATCGGGGCCCAGTCCCCCCACGTGAGAACCTACGGTGCGGGCTGGCACGACGACGGCTGGCGTGGCGCGCTGGCCTTTCTCCTCCCTGTTCGCTTCTTCCCTCCCCCGCTCGCTTCACCCCCTCCCATGGCGGCAGCGCCCGGCACTGCGCGGCTTCGGCCCGGTGCCGGGCGCTGCACCTTGCCGCCTCGGCGGCCCCGCTCGCCATGGCGCTGCGCGGCTCAGGCCCGGCCCTCGGCATGTCAGTGCATCGTGTGTGGCTGCTGTCCGTCTCCACGCGCTGACGGTGCAGGGCTGGGTTTTCTCCCTGCACTCCACCGACACCCTGTCGGTCATGTGCGGATGGGACTACCACCCAGGGCCTCCTCCCCATCACCCGGTGGCACAACGTTGCACATCACCTTCGTGGTGCTCTTGTTCTTCCTGGGCCTCCTCCGCATCATCCCGTGGCACAACGTTGCTCATCGTGGTGCTCTTCTCCCTCCTGGGCGTCGACCTGATCAAGTGGCGCGTCCTCCCCCGCTGTGCTTGAGACTGGTGTTCGCGTCGTGCCGCTGACGGCTACACCATCTCCTTCGCCTTCCGGGTCTTCGCCCCCGGTCCTCGTCCGCGGCGTACCTTCTCCTGTGCAAGCTCTTCGGCACCGCTGGCACCCCGGGCTCCACCTGCTCCGGCCGCCTGAGGCCCCGCCTTCCTGTGCCCTGTCTCTTTAATTAAAGCTGCGCGTAACCCGCCTAGCTTTTAGCGGAAGGGGTTCGCTTTCGCCCCGCATACCAAAAAGAGTGTGTTTGCATGAGTGCGTGCATGTGTGTGCGTCGGTTGTTGCGTGTGTGCGTGTATGTTGCTAGGGCCCAGGGCAGCCCTGGTGTCAGCACAAGAGAAAACATCGCATAAACATTAAGTGTTTGAGCCCCGCGCAGATTTCTTGGATCTGCGCTGGTCCCCCTCCCTGGCGCGCGGAGTGCGCCATGGGCGGCGCCTGAAGCGTTCTCAGGGGGCACCAGCGCATATCAAAGGAAACCGCGTGGAGCTCCCACAGTTGATGTATATGTAGTTGGTGCCCATCGCCTGAAAGTGCAAATGTTCATGTTTGTCCCGTAATTTCTGATTATTGTTCGCGTTGTGGGCGTTTGTATACCATCACCATGTCCGTCATGGTGGTGATGTGCAAATCTCTGTAGGCCAAAAGCGACACTGGGCATGTCGTCGGCCCCGCGCGAAGAGGAGCAGCGGTGCTGCACCTTCTCCCCGGACATCACCGCCACCTGGCCGCCACCCATGCGGTCGGCTTTGCGGGGAGGGGGCAGGAATAGGAGTGGCATTCCTCATCCTTCTTTCGCCCTCCTCCCCCTCTGACCTCCTCCCTCGTCCCTGTTCCTCCCTCCTCCCTCCTCCTTGTCCTCGTCCTTCTACATCGACGACGGCATCGACGACTACTCCTCCGCCCATGATGCGATACGGACTCCTCCGGCTCTTGTAAAGGCAGCGACGGCGAGAATTCAGATGGCAAATGCGACGGTCATCGTGTTGACATGTGAGATAACAGGCTATGTGGCCCTTGTGCATGTATCCCTTTTTCCTTGCACCTGCTCACAAACCCGTTCTTGGGAAGCAGCCTCCTTCTCGGACGGGTTTTTTTTCACACTAGCTCCAGGGAGAAGCATTCAACGGTGTATTGTATGTGCGCACCGCGCCGCCGTGTCCGTTATACGAGTTAACGCGCGTGCGAGCAACTCACCAGTTTGGGTGAATTACGCGGAAGTTTTGGTAGCGAGCGCCGTCCTTGAGTTTGGTACCCGTTGGGGCGTTTCAGAGTAATTTGTGAGGACGGATGGGGTGGGAACCGTTGTCGTTTTTGTTGGTCTCTCCCAGAAGAGGAACGAATTGCGAAACAGTCTCTAGCAAGAGCGCCGCTCCTGTGCGTGATAATGCGTATGACCATGGCGCACGCGAGTACATTGCGAGGATGTATCGGGCTGGGGCCGTGGTCGTCGTGGCTGTGCATTCAACAAACACGAGACTTGAGTGGATTGCCAGGAAGTCTTAAGCCAGACCGCCGTTCCTGAATTGGGGGGCCTCCTCTGGTCAGGGCCTCATGGGGTAAGTCTCAACGGAGTATCCAGCGGGAGCCATTCTGGTCGTGGCTGAGTGGACTGCGAGGAAGTCTCGAGCCAGAGCGCCGTTCCTGAGTTGGGGCACTTTCACCAACCTGAGTGGATTGCGAGGAACTCTCATGCCAGAACGCCGTTCCTGAATTCGGGGCGGCCTCTCTGGTCAGGGCGTCTTGCGGTGAATTGCGGCTAAGGATCGAGTGGGAGCGGTTGTCGTCGTGGCTGCGCCTTGACTAACCAGAGTAGACTGCGAGGAGGTCACGAGCTAGAACCCCGTTTTTGAATTGGGCGGCCTCTCCAGTCAGGGCGTCCTGGGGGAAACTTTAACACAGCATCGAGCGGGAGCGGTTGTGGTCGTGGGTGGGTCTTCGCTAGCCAGAGTGGACTGCGAGGAAGTTTCGAGCCAGAGCGCCCTTCCTGAATTGCGGGCGGCCTCTCTGGCCACGGCGTCCTGGGGCAGACTGCACGGGAATATCCAGCGGGAGCCATTGCCACCGCTGCTGGGTTTTCAGCAGTCAAGCGGGAGCGTCGTTTTTCAGGGGAACCGCAGCCCGTATCGAGGCCAGTGCGCCCAGAGCCGTTTCCAAAGATTTCTGTGGTTCGACGTCCTCCTCTGATGGCGAAGCAGGCAGGCAGCCTCTCCAGGCGTGGGGGGCCTCTGCAACGCCAGCGACTGGACTCCGGGCGGCCCGACCAGGGGCTTCGACAGAGCACCAGGAATCCCCAGGAGTGCCTGCGAAGCCTTTCCTTGCGCTCTCCCCAAAGCAGAGCTGGCACTGAGGGGGGGTTGCTCATGTCTTCTCTGAGGCATTGGGCCGGTGTGTCGCTCTCCGCCGGCCATGTTGCTGCCGTTGCCGCCGTCGCGGCCCGGTCGCCGCCTCGTCGCCGCCCTGGAGTGCACCACGCAGATTGCGCCGCATATAGGCTGCACTGCACGTCGGTCGTTGGAAGTAGGTATTTTTGGATTCCCAAATCCCAATCTACTTCAAGCGCCTTCCTACTTCAAGAATCGGCATGCTTCAGCTGTGTTTTGTTATTCTCTGGGAGGACCCGGACCCAATCCACTATATCCGCCTTCCTACTTCATGTTTCTACGTATTTCTTCCGACCGACGTGTACATCGGCTCTCCTTTCCAAAAAGAAATATGGTTTTCGCATGTCGATTTACATGTGATTCTGCCCCATCGCCCATCCTAAACCTGAGCTCGTACCATCCCAGGCGAGCCGGTATCGACACCCTCCGCCATCCCATGCAAAAATTACTATGCGCGCGCACTCGTTTATCAACAATCATCCGTTTTCAAGAACCCCTTGCTAAAAGTGGGGGCGAAATGCACACGCGCGCATCGTCGCGCGCGCATGCCGAAATCCGTCAAAAACCTCCGGTTTCGTAAGGATCTCAAAATCGAGCGTCCGACATAACAAGCACACATGGTTGCGCAACACTGATTTTCAAACAAACTTCCGCGCACTCTGTTGCGAATCCTGAAGAAAACCGTCGGTGTTCAACATGTTCATAAAATGGTTCCTAACGGACTTCGCGCGCGCATGTCGAAATCGTTCGAAGACCTTGCGCGCGTGGTGTCGCAAGAAGCGCTTGCAACAAACAGGATGCAGTGCGAAGTCCGTCAGAAACCTCAGGTTTCGTGAGGATGTCAAAATCGAGTGTCCCGACATCATATCAAAACATATAGTTTCGCAACAAAGAGAACCTTTTCGGTTTTTCTTTCAAACCTGTGCATTGGATTCTGCCAAACTTGAAGACGTTGAAACAAGGACCAGCTTGGGCTCAGGAGCGGCTCTGCTTTCTGCAATCTAGGTCGGGCAATTTGTTCGTGGCCGACGCCTTCCGTGGCCTGGAAAGCATTTTCCTGTCTCACTCTCACGCTCCTTATGGGAGCACGATGACTCTGCAGCACCCTGCAGTTTCGGAAAAGAGTGAGGGGGCGGGCGAGGGGTTGGTCGCGAGTGGGTCGCGGGCTGGGGGTGGTTCGCGGGTGGGTCGCGGGCGAGTCGTGGTCGCGGGGTGGGTCTCGGGTGGGTCGCGTGTGGGTCGCGGGCCGGGTCGCGGGCGGGACGACGACAACAAGCGACAACATTAACAACCACAACAACAAAAATACTGTTAATGATAACAACAGCAGCATCAACATAATCAGCAACAACAACACTTACAATAATGACTACAACGTAATGACAAAAAACAGTAACAATAACAGCAACCACACCAACAACAACAGTAACAATCAGTTTAGGATCGTTCGCTCTTACACCTTCGCTGTACATCCAACACGTATATCCCTAACCGCTCTCTTCGCCTTCGATCGCACCACTTTGGGGGCTACCCACCTGCTTTGACTGCTACGTGTGTTTCGTGCAGCACCTGAGGCAGGGGAAGAAAGGACGGAGAGATGGAAGGGACAAGGGGGAGGGAGGAGGATGGAGCACGAGAGAGAGTAGCAGGAGGGGGGCCAGGAGCAGAAAACACGTGGCAGAACCAGACGGGCAGAGCGGGGGCGGTAGACCCTAACGGGCGGGTCGGGAAGGCGGGCCCAAGCGGCCAGGCCGAGCAGGCGGGTTGCTGACGCGTGCATCCTGCGTGCATCGCGAGGCGTCTCGAGCGATAGCACGCTTCCCGAGTAAGTCGCGATGAAATCCATAGCGAGAACGTGGTTCCAGAGTGTCGAGGGCGCGGCATCTGAATACACTGCGAGGAGGGCCCACCCGAGGGCGCGATTGCTGCATACTTGGTGATTACATCCTTCGCGAGAGCGCGAGTCGGGAAGAACCTGTGAGGAAGTATCAGGCGGGAACTGTTGTTGCTGTTGTAAACCAGGGGCCATGGGCACAGCCTGTTGACACGTCGCTTTCCCTTGTAAGAGACAGGGCGCGAGCCCCGCGAGAAGCAGTTCGCTTGAAAACATGCGACGGTTACCGGGAGAGGGGGGCCAACCGTACTCATTTCTTAGAGCCGGGAACGCAACAACAACGACAACAACAACATCAGCAGCAACCGCAACAGCAACACAAGTAAGCACAACAACATTAACGACACCAATATCAAAAGCAGCCGTAACAACAAGCACACCACCAACAATCATTTAAAGACGGTTCGTTCTTATCTGTTCGCGTGCCATTCAACACATCTATCCCAAGTCCTCGATATACGTTTTTCCCCAACCATCCCGTGATGTTGGGTCCTCGTTTTGAAGAGACAGCGCCCCGCGTCCCACCTTCCTTCCTCCTCATCCTCCGTCCTCCTCCCCTTCCTCCCTCCTCCCCCTCATTGGCTCTGCTCTCGGCACACCCCGCACACGTTTCGTAGCCCCATAGGGAGCTCCACCGAAGGCCCCAGTGACACAGCCCGCATGCGGTTCCCCCACCAAGGGTAGCGTTTCGCAGCCCCATAGGGAGCTCCACCGAAGGTCCCACTGGCACAGCCCGCATGCGGTTCCCCCACCCAGGGCAGCGTTTCGTGGCACCATAGGGAGCTCCACCGAAGGTCCCAGTGGCACAGCCCGCATGCGGTTCCCCGCCCCAGGGCAGCGTTTCGTGGCCCCATAGGGGAGCTCTACCGAAGGTCCCAGTGGCACAGCCCGCATGCGGTTCCCCCACCCAGGGCAGCGCTTCGTGGCCCCATAGGGGGCTCCACCGAAGGCCCCAGTGGCACAGCCCGCATGCGGTTCCCCCACCCAGGGCAGCGCTTCGTGGCCCCATAGGGGGCTCCACCAAAGGTCCCAGTGGCACAGCCCGCATGCGGTTCCCCCTGCCAGGGCAGCGTTTCGTGGCCCCATAGGGAGCTCCACCGAAGGTCCCAGTGACACAGCCCGCATGCGGTTCCCCCACCCAGGGCAGCGCTCCGTGGCCCCATAGGGAGCTCCACCGAAGGTCCCAGTCCAGTGGCGCAGCCCGCATGCGGTTCCCCCACCCAGGGCAGCGCTCCGTGGCCCCATAGGGAGCTCCACCGAAGGTCCCAGTGACACAGCCCGCATGCGGTTTCCCCCACCCAGGGCAGCGCTTCGTAGCCCCATAGGGAGCTACACCGAAGGTCCCAGTGGCACAGCCCGCATGCGGTTCCCCCACCCAGGGCAACGTTTCGTGGCCCCATAGGGAGCTCCACCGAAGGTCGCAGTGGCACAGCCCGCATGCGGTTCCCCCACCCAGGGCAGCGC